AGCTATTTATTCTGGATACATTTTTGGAGGGGAGGGGGATTATTTTTAACCTAGTGTGCATCTACACATACACCACTGTCAGAATACATGGTCTTCAATTTTAGAATTTTGTTTAAAGCAAACATTAGATATATATCTAAGAACTTTACCATATACTATTAGAAAAATGACTGCATTCCATCCTACAAATTCCCAGTTGTACATAGTACTAGCATCTAGACCATTTAGAGATGGTAAAATATTAAATTAAGGAAGACATTTTAGTGTTTAAACCTAAACATGTATATACATATTTCTATAAAAGTCAGCATAAATTCAGTATTAAGAATCATAGTTGAGAATGTACATTATTTGGGAAATTGTGTAAATCTCAATTTCTTTGTGAAAACTGATCAGTTAACATTACAGGCCTCTTTTTTTTCCCTCTGTATAATTAAGCTTTTGTTCAGCCATGAAAAAACTAGAAACTGATTGCTTGAAAATGAGCTGCATGACCTTTGTCCTGGTTTGTCACCTTTGACCTTTAATTTGAGGATCCTGCATATCAAGTCATTCTATTTTTAGAAGCAGTATGTCAAAGTCCTGTGTTAAAATTTTTACCACTTATGTATCAAAAAGAGTAGCAAATTAAAATTATTTTGCTTTTTTATTATACAACTGTTTTTGAAATAACACACACCATGAACTAGTCCACAAAATGCTTTATGTAAGAAAGAGCTTTTCCTACCAGAGATATTGGAACACAAAACAAATTTAGAGAAGATTCTCCTATAGTCTGCTTGGCTCCTCCAAATTTTAACTCTTTTTAACAAAAGCCTCATGCTCATATCTTTTGTTGTTAATGCGTATACGCAATTACATGAACTTTGTCCATATCATCATTGATTTTTTTTAGTCACTGATCACATGCTTTGATATTAGCTCTCAAAATACCCTTTCACAATCTGAAACTGTGTTTAAAAATGGCTAATAGCAAACTTAGGTCTAAAATTTGTTTGACTCAAAAATGTGTATTTTTTAAAAATTAGGCTTAATTTTTATGTAAGATGGTTTAAAATGTCTTTATGGTGGTAAAGGACCATTTTCAAAACAAGAGAGTGCCATAGTATTGATCTAATTGATTTTCCTATACTCATTCAATACCAAACTAATACAATTCACTGGAAAAAGCTTCCTTGAGACAGCATCTATCTGCCTACTACATTTAGTGAATGAATGATGCAAAAATAAGATAATAAAGACAAAACTTACTATAGTTATTCTTGTATTTGAACCTCCACAGAACTTCAGGATGTGTTTTTCAGTTGGATTTAGTAGTGATCAACATGGCTGTCTTGATTCAGCACTCCGGTCAGCGACATCATACAGTATCATGTCATAGGAGGAGCTACTCCATAAAGGCATGTACCCTCATATTTTCAAAATACAGCTGGCTTTATAAAGTACATCTGCCAGCTATAAATAGTGTGAATTTTAGTCATACTTGATAACTGGAATCTTATTATTCTGATTAACAAGTTAGCAGTTATGCCTCACAATGTATTGTTTTTAGGCTCATTCTGGAGGAAAAATGGTTCCTTTAGAACCTACCTTCTGTCCAGACATATTGTAATAGGAGAATCATCTGGTAGGTCTTTCTCTCCCCCTCCCCAAGATCACATTATAAATCACATTGTTTAACTATGATGCAAACAAAAAGCTACTTCAAAATGAAAAAAGGAAGAACAAAACCTTTAACTGCCTAAGACTTATTAAGTCATCCTTCTGCTTGGAGAATGTGATCTGAAACACTGCTTGTGACTTATCACTGCATCCTAGCAATGAAGATTTGGGCCTAGACATATGAAATTTTCATTTTTCCTCTCCTGTCTCCTCAAGTTTCTAATACATATCAGCTAATGTGTCTCCTACATTGACTTTACTATTGATTTCTGGTAAGATTTTTTTTATATACATGTAAGTTTGATAGCTCATTTCTTCACGCAATCTTGTATTTTCTACCTCAGCTGTTTTTAAATATGTACTAAACAGTCTGCTTATAAGTAACCATTACTTTGCTATTTTGTGTTACATTGTTTCATGAGAACAAAGACAACTTGACTTCTTGGTATACTTATTAATAAATTTGAGGTTATATATTTATTCCATATTTTAGTGATCTTTCTTGCTGTACAGTATCATTCTTTCAGAAGACTACAGTTTAACTGCATATCCTGTGAATAATTTTCAAAAAAGTAAATGGCAGAATATTTCCCCCCAACAAATAAGGTACCATCTTTACACCTTTAAAAATGAAATGTCTGTTTCCTATATGGTTTACTGTACAATCCAGTATCAATCTAACTCTAAATGGTTGTTACTGTAATTTAATATAAATTTGATGGATGCTTCATTAAATTAAAATGTTGAAAACAATTTAGACCATTATAAAACTATAGCTACAATTCTTATTTTCTTAACAGTAGCTAATACTGATGACAACACATACTTTGCTGTAGATGTAGTTAGACAGCGTATGCACATAAAATGTGAAGTTCCAAAACAGACTATAACTAGAATATTAGTTAATGGCTTTTTAAATGTAATGCTGGTTACATAAGTAACATGCCTAAATCCTTTAGCAAAAGTTGATAACCTGTATTACTATTTCATTCATTTGTACTACAATATGAGACTAAGTAGATATCAAGTAAGTACACTCAGGGAAAAGTGATGAACAATTAAATGCCTAGCATCTTTTCTAGGTGATGTTAACAAATTAAAATAGGTAACTCAAACAAGTGTTAAACCTCTCTTCCTCTAAAACTTACTTTAGAATTTACACTATTTAAAATATACTGGTGTTACGCTTTTAAAAGAGCTTGGCTAAATAGCAACATTAAGTGTGTAGTTATATTTTCTGATCTTTTATGCATATACACACAGGGTCTGAATTGACTGATTTCCTGTTAAATCAGATGACTAAAATAACATGTGCTTAATTAAAATGTTAATAAAAATATAACTCAAAACAAGAAATTAAATACAAAATATTTCCTGGACCAGGATTGAATTCAATTTTACATTGCTAAAAGAGAAATATATACTTCTGAAACTAGTTCTGAAGCCAGCCATTCTAGTCTATACTCATAAATCAAATTGACATAGCCAGATTTCTATCAGTGTTTGAAACCAGAAAACAGAAACTACAAAGTTTAAAGACATTTATTTGTTTTCCCTTACATTACATGCCATCAACAGGACAACTTCACAGGAGAATAGCACAGTGCTACTTTTTTTTTTTTAAGTTTACTATAAAATGACCCCAACTATACACAGTACCACTAGGAGCAATTTATAAAAAACACTGAGGGGAAAATGCAAGGAAACACGGAGATCGACCTAAGATTTCGTTCTGTTGCATGAAACAATTCAAAATGGCGGCCTTACCATTACTTACATTTAAAACCCCCGTAGAGAGGACACGGAATTATGTATGAGATCAAATAGTAACATCCCCGCCCGCCACGCCCCCACCAAAAAAAAGCACTAAAGGGCAGGAATAGTTACCAAGGTGCAATTAAAAAACAGTCCTTTGGGGCACAAATCCGTACAAGACAGCTGCATCCTCTGCTCTCTAGTCAGTTTAAAGCTGACGCACCGATTGGCAAACACAATGTAGTTGTCCATCTACTTTCCTCCTTCTCTTTCCTTTTGCAACAGCTCAAGCTCCAGGATCGTTCTCCTTCGCTCCTCCAGAGTCCTAATTTGTGTTTGTGCCTCTGCATCTTTCCCTCCCCCCACAAACTTCCCCCCCTTCCCCCCCCCCCCCCCCCGCACACACATTGACAGTACAAGATTGTTTCCTTGGTAGGTTACAAATACAAAGATCTCTTTGCTACCAGAGGGCAAAGGCAGGGAGTGGAGGGATCCCAAGAGCACGGGACGCCCCCTGGCGTCGAACGGGCGCAGTTTCACCTGCGGGCATCCCAACCTGTACCTTGACCGGAGCAAGTTAATACAATCCCTTTGTGCTCGCACCTGGAGCTGCCCATCGCTTTGCAGATGCACCATGCGAGCGCTGCCGCTCTCCTCGCGCACCCCGGGGTGACATGCCAGGGAGGCTCGGCTCTTGTCTCTCGATCCCTTTTTTAATTATTGTTTTATTTGTAATATCACATGCAAGGCACTCTCCCCCCCTCCCTCTCCCCCCCCCCCAGGGGAAGCAGCAACTTGGCCGCTGGGCTCCGAGGCGTCTGATCTTCTCCAGGGTAACCGCAGCCCTCGGAGAAGGGCGGTAGTGGGGGGTGGGGGGGGGAAAGGTGTGAACCCGGAAGTACACTCGGCACGGCAGCAGCATCTCAATGGCAACACTGGGGAGAAATAAAGGGGCGCTCGGGCGGCGGGAAGCAACTTTCCCTGCAGGGGAAGCGAAGGCGCCCCACAACCCCCCCCCTCCCCGCATCTGCGCAGGGCGCGCGGACTCCGCGGGCAAGGTGCCGGGCAGGTGCCAGCTGCGGCGCTGGCAGCGGCCGGGACCCGGCGCGGCACGGACGGCGAAGGAGCAGTGACTGGAGCTCGCTTACCTCCCGGGCGCCATGGTCGCTGGGCTACGCGGGCGGGCGGGCGGGCTGGGGGGGGGGCAGCGGGTGGCGCTTGGCTTCCTAAGGCGCTGTGGGGCGGCGGCGGAGCGGGGCTGGCGGCGGGGGAGGGAAGCGGCGCTCACGCTCCCAGCCGGTGGCGGAGCGGCGGTGGCTGGATGGCTGGGCAGGGACGCAGCAGCCCGTTACCGCTCCAACGCTGGGTCACGCCGCGGCAGGCGTGCACCTGCCCGGCCCGGCCCGCCCTGGCTGCACCAGGGGGCGCGGCAGGTTGAAGCCCAAGCGCGAGTCACTTCCCCAGGCGGGCTCCCACGCGAGCCCGGGGGGACTCGGCTTGTCCGGGGGGCGACCCGCCCCCCAGCCTCGGGGCTGGAACCGGTCCGCACAGGGCGCTTCCCGCCCGCCCCGCCTCAGCCTGGCCCCGGCCCCCGGCCAGGTCTGACACCTCCCCTCCTTGGCAGGCTCCCAGCCTGAAACCGGCACCGAGGCCGAGCCATCCAGGGGCTGAGGCGCTCCCAGCCCACCCAGACGGGTTCAGCTATGCGCCGCCCCTGCTCGGGCTGTGCCGCACGCAGGGCTCCTCCCCCTGCCTCCAGAAGGGGTGGCCGGCGCTGGGTTCGCTTTCCCGCCTTCCCTAGGGGCTGAAACCTTCTTCCATTTCCCAGCCCTTGCCTTCCGACAGAGACCACCCAACCCCCCATGTTACAGGCTTCCCCCAGGCAGTTCCTCCCTCTCTCCAGGCTGTGCCTCCCTCCATCCCATAGTCTACTCTACACAACACCAGTAATTACATCACACGGTTTTGTCACCTAGCCCAAGGTCTCTGCTGGTGCCCCCAGCAGTGAGCGGCCATCAGAAACTAAGCAAGGCAATCCCCTGTTCTGTCCCCCAGGGTAAGAAGTTGTTCTACGGGCACAGGGTTCTGTCTGATCAGGTCGCAGAAGGTCCTATCCCACAGGGCCAAAACATGTCTTGCATAGAGATCCACTCCTCTCTCTCCACTCCTCTCTCTGAATGTGCCTGACATCACAACAACCTGTTCTCCAAGAGTTTGCAGGTACCTCCTTGTCTCAACAGTTCATGTCCAGGTTTCTGTCAGGGCTCCATTTCCAGATCTCAGTATTTTCTGCACACTCAGGCTTCCATTTTTTGGTTTGATCTGACTTCACCACTCAGTATGTTCAACCCACTTGCACTCCTGGGTCTCTAAGTGTGCCAATCACTTGCAAGGCTCCAATCTTGTGTCTTGGCTTGTGCTACACACAAGGTTCTATTCCCAGGTCTTGACCAGGTTGTCATTTCAGGGTCTCAGCATATTATTCACTTCCAGATTTCCAGGTCTTGACCCAGCCCACACATTCCAGTGTTCTAATTCCAATACCTGGTCTGTTCTGTGCATGAGCTGCTCTCAACTCTCATCACATGTTGCATGGTGACAGTGTTGCATGCCGAGGTCTCTGAATCCATCACCTACTTCCAAGTTCTTTTTCTCAGACTTGACCTAACTGACCTGCTCACAGCATACCATTCATAGCTCTTATTATGTGCCACTGCCACAGTTCAAATTAGAGTGAAAAAGTGGGTCTCAGAACAGGTTGCTTTTTTGCAGAGTCCCATTCCTGGGCCCATGTGCATGGTGTGTATAGGGTTCCATTGGTAGTTTTGGCATACTTGCCCTGCTCATAAGGTTCTAGTCTCAGATCTCACATGTGGAGTTCCTTTACTGAGTCTCCAGTGGCCCACCCATGTTTGGGATTTAATTCTTGAGTCTCTGAACATGCCGTCTAGTCAGAATTCTATTCCCAGGTCTCTATACATACATTGCAGTCATGAGGTTCCAGTAAGGGGTTGCTGTACTTACAATGTGTAGCTTTTAATTCCTTTTGTCTATGTACTACATGCTGATCACAAAGTTCTGTTACATGATCTCAGCCTGTGCTGTATAGTTACACAACATACTGTACCATTCTCAGACCTTCAAACATTTTGCTCACTCAGCTGCCATTATGGATTCCTGCTTTTCTTGTGGCTGGGGTTCCATTCTTAGAGCTCAACATAAAAGTAATCAAATAGTGCTATTACAAGTTGCTTAGTCTTACAAGTGCTTAGTCTTACAAGTTGCTTTTCTTAGCCTTGGTCTACACTAGGAGTTTAGATCGAATTTAGCAGCGTTAAATCGATGTAAACCTGCACCCGTCCACACGATGAAGCCCTTTTTTTCGACTTAAAGGGCTCTTAAAATCGATTTCCTTAATCCACCTCTGACAAGTGGATTAGCGCTTAAATTGGCCTTGCTGGGTCAAATTTGGGGTACTGTAGACGCAATTAGATGGTATTGGCCTCCGGGAGCTATCCCAGAGTGCTCTATTATGACCGCTCTGGACAGCACTCTCAACTTAAATGCACTGGCCAGGTAGACAGGAAAAGGCCCGCGAACTTTTGAATTTCAATTTCCTGTTTGCATGGTCACCTGCAGCTTGCCACGCCGGCCAGAGCTTATCAGCAGAGGTGACCATGATGGAGTCCCAGAATCGCAAAAGAGCTCCAGCATGGACCGAACAGGAGGTACGGGATCTGATTGCTGTATGGGGAGAGGAATCCGTGCTGTCAGAATCATAGAATCATAGAATATCAGAGTTGGAAGGGACCTCAGGAGGTTATCTAGTCCAACTCCATTCCAGTTTTCGAAATGCCAAAACCTTTGTGAAAATCTCCCAGGGCATGAAGGACAGAGGCCATAACAGGGACCCGAAGCAATGCCGCGTGAAACTGAAGGAGCTGAGGCAAGCCTACCAGAAAACCAGAGAGGCGAACAGCCGCTCTGGGTCAGAGCCCCAAACATGCCGCTTCTATGATGAGCTGCATGCCATTTTAGGGGGTTCAGCCACCACTACCCCAGCCGTGTTGTTTGACTCCTTCAATGGAGATGGAAGAGGGGATGGGGGGGTGAGGGGCTAGTCACATGGTGGGGGAAGGCAAAATGCGACCTTGTAACGAAAGCACATGTGCTATGTATGTAATGTTAACAGCAAGGTTTACCCTGAAAGAGTGTAGCCACTGTTTTATAAAATGTGTCTTTTTAAATACCGCTGTCCCTTTTTTTTTCTCCACCAGCTGCATGTGTTTCAATGATCACAGGATCTTCTCCTTCCCAGAGGCTAGTGAAGCTTAGAAGGCGAAAAAAACACACTCGTGATGAAATATTCTCTGAGCTCATGGTGTCCTCCCACACTGACAGAGCACAGATGACTGTGTGGAGGCAGACAATGTCAGAGTGCAGGAAAGCACAATATGACCGGGAGAGGAGGTGGCGGGCTGAAGAGAGTAAGTGGCGGGCTGAAGAGAGGGCTGAAGCTCAAGTGTGGTGGCAGCGTGATGAGAGGAGGCAGGATTCAATGCTGAGGCTGCTGGAGGATCAAACCAATATGCTCCAGCGTATGGTTGAGCTGCAGGAAAGGCAGCAGGAGCACAGACCGCCGCTACAGCCCCTGTGTAACCAACCGCCCTCCTCCCCAAGTTCCATAGCCTCCTCACCCAGACGCCCAAGAACGCGGTGGGGGGGCCTCCGGCCACTCCACCCCAGAGGATTGCCCAAGCAACAGAAGACTGGCATTCAATAAGTTTTAAAGTTTTAAACTTTTAAAGTGCTATGTGGCCTTGTTCTTCCCTCCTCCACCACCCCTCCTGGTGGCCTTGTTCTTCCCTCCTCCACCACCCCTCCCGGGGCTACCTTGGTAGTTATCCCCCTATTTGTGTGATGAATGAATAAAGAATGTATGAATGTGAAGCAACAATGACTTTATTGCCTCTGACAGCGGTGATCGAAGGGAGGAGGGGAGGGTGGTTAGCTTACAGGGAAGCAGAGTGAACCAAGGGGCGGTGGGTTTCATCATGGAGAAACAAGCAGAACTTTCACACCGTGGCCTGTCCAGTCATGAAACTGGTTTTCAAAGCTTCTCTGATGTGCACTGCGCCCTCCTGTGCTCTTCTAACCGCCCTGGTGTCTGCTGTGCGAAACCAGCAGCCAGGCGATTTGCCTCAACCTCCCACCCCGCCATAAACGTCTCCCCCTTACTCTCAGATATTATGGAGTGCACAGCAAGCAGTAATAACAGTGGGAATATTGGTTTCGCTGAGGTCTAACCGAGTCAGTGAACTGCACCAGCGCACTTTTAAACGTCCAAATGCACATTCTACCACCATTCTGCACTTGCTCAGCCTGTAGTTGAACAGCTCCTGACCTACTGTCCAGGCTGCCTATGTATGGCTTCATGAGCCATGGCATTAAGGGGTAGGTTGGGTCCCCAAGGATACATATAGGCATTTCAACATCCCCAACGGTTATTTTCTGGTCTGGGAATAAAGTCCCTTCTTGCAGCTTTTGAAACAGACCAGCGTTCCTGAGGATGCGAGCGTCATGTACCTTTCCCGGCCATCCCACGTTGATGTTGGTGAAACGTCCCTTGTGATCCACCAGTGCTTGGAGCACTATTGAAAAGTACCCCTTGCGGTTTATGTACTCGCCGGCTTGGTGCTCCGGTGCCAAGATAGGGATATGGGTTCCGTCTATGGCCCCACCACAGTTAGGGAATCCCATTGCAGCAAAGCCATCCACTATGACCTGCACATTTCCCAGGGTCACTACCCTTGATATCAGCAGATCTTTGATTGCGTGGGCTACTTGCATCACAGCAGCCCCCACAGTAGATATGCCCACTCCAAATTGATTCCTGACTGACCGGTAGCTGTCTGGCGTTGCAAGCTTCCACAGGGCTATCACCATTCACTTCTCAACTGTGAGGGCTGCTCTCATCTTGGTATTCTTGCGCCTCAGGGCAGGGGAAAGCAAGTCACAAAGTTCCATAAAAGTGCCCTTACGCATGCGAAACTTTCGCAACCACTGGGAATCGTCCCAGACCTGCAACACTATGCGGTCCCACCAGTCTGTGCTTGTTTCCTGAGCCCAGAATCGGCATTCCACCGCATGAACCTGGCCCATTAGCACCATGATGCCCACATTGCCAGGGCCCCTGCTTGGAGAGAAGTCTGTGTCCATGTCCTCATCACTCTTGTCACCGCGCTGACATCGCCTACTCGCCCGGTTTTGCTTTGCCAGGTTCTAGTGCTGCATATACAGCTGGATAATGTGCGTGGTGTTTAATGTGCTCCTAATTGCCAAAGTGATCTGAGCGGTCTCCATGCTTGCCGTGGTATGGCATCTGCACAGAAAAAAGGCGCGGAACGATTGTCTGCCGTTGCCCTGATGGAGGGAGGGGCAACTGACGACATGGCTTACAGGGTTGGCTTACAGGGAATTAAAATCAACAAAGGGGGTGGCTTTGCGAGAAACTGAATGGCTCCCTCAAGGATAGAACTCAGAACCTCAAGGATAGAACTCAAAACTGGGTTTGGAAGGCCATTGATTTCACAGAGGGAAGGAGGAGAAAATGAATACAAAACAAATCTGGTCTATTTCTTGTTTTGAGCCACTTCATCTATCTTTATACATCTTGCTGGCAGCAGACTGTGCAGTACGACCGCTAGCCGTCATCATTTCCTGGGGCTCGGCAGAAGACGGTGCAGTATGACGACTAGCCATCATATTCTGCTGGCTGGAGGTTAAAAGACAGTGCACTGCCGGTAGGACTGAATCGCCACGAGACGAAACTTAAAAGGGAAATGACCTGGCTGAGTCACTCCCATGGTTGCCCAGGCGCCCGATTAAAAGAGCACCCAGGACTACGTCGATGATGGCTACCAGTCATACTGCACTGTCTGCTGCCAAAAGGCAATGAACTGCTGCTGTGTAGCAATGCAGTACCACGTCTGCCAGCACCCAGGAGACATATGGTGACGGTTTGCTGAGCGGGCTCCATGCTTGCCGTGGTATGGCGTCTGCACAGATAACTCAAGAAAAAAGGCGCAAAACGATTGTCTGCCCCTTTCACGGAGGGAGGGAGGAAACGGAGGCCTGACGATATGTACCCAGAACCACCCGCGACAATGTTTTAGCCCCATCAGATACTGGGATTTCTACCCAGAATTCAGATGGGCGGCGGAGATTGCGGGAACTGTGGGATAGCCACCCAAGGTGCAACGCTCCGGAAGTCGACAGTTGCCTCGGTACTGTAGACACACTCCGCCGACTACATGCACTTAGAGCACTTGTGTGGGGACACACACAATCAACTGTATAAAACCGCTTTCTACAAAACTGAGTTCTATAAATTCGACCTAATTTCGTAGTGTAGACATACCCTAAGGGTGTGAGCAACATATAGTCTTTGAAGAAACGCCATATTTTGTTAGTTGTGGGGTGCAGGTTCTTTCTAGAAGCTGCAGTAAACAGCAAGAGAGTTTGCTCTCCACCTTATTCTCTCTATCTAGAGTCAACACCAGGAGTAGACTTGCTTCCTGGGAATTGGGCACTGGGATTTGGGCTGAGATTTTTGAAAGAGGGATTTGCCTGTGTGGCACTTGTGACCACCTCTGTTGAAGGACTGGTGTATACAGTGTTAGTAAAACAAGTTATACTAAGAAAATACCCAGACTCTGTATCACTGATTTCTCTTCCGACAACAAACTGAACGCTCTAAGGTCTCGACATTACAACCACATGGCAGAGGGGTGACAACATGTTGCACAGTCATTCTCCCTGATGTCGCTGAGCATTCCTTCCACTTGCAAGTTCCATTCCCCAGCTTTGATCCACAATGCTCATTCACAGGGTTTCATTCCTGAGAGCCTTTGTGAATTCTACCAGTTTCTGTGTGGATTACTCAGTTTATGCATTTTCCCAGAACATAATATTTTCACTAAAATCAATGAGTTGTTACGGCTTGTGAAAAAGAATTGGCAGGTTTGACATTTTGGAAAAATAAATACAGAAGCACTTTTAGCTTGTGAAGTTGCATGTTCTGCTTAAAACATAACATATAGTCCCTCTCTGTTCTGCTCCTTTCAACACCAAATGCTGCAGAGTTAATGAGACTGCTTCAACCCATTTAAATATGACATTTTTCTAGTGAAGTTTATGGGAGCCTTTGTCACTTTGATAAAATAAAAGTGGAACATCTGATAAATAATTTCATTTTCTATCTTCTAATGGTACCTCTAACTATGGAGTATTACATATTGTTACACATGCCACTTGCCCTTGAAACTGTGAATAAGAAACTGCCAGGTTTTCTAGAGACTCCTGTGGACTGAATTTCCCAGACTCCTGGCCTAAGTAAAGTTTCTTTCAGGACACCATCCACCTTCTGGGGGCTGTTTCTGCCACCAACCATGGCTACCTTCATGTCCCTCTCCCAGTGGCTACTCAAGCTTTTATCAGAATTTCCTCCATTTCCCCAGTGCTGCAACCATCCAGGTACTTCCTTTGTCCCCATAGCTTCATGCTATCTGATATTTCATGTTCATACACGTCTCCTCTCAGCCTTCCCATCCTCATTATACCAGATTTCTTCTCTTTCAGCATCCTCCCCAATCCCCAATTTGCCTGTCTCTTACTGCCTCCTGTGATGGTTCTCAGGGCATCCAGGGCTGTGAATTCTCCTTGCTACATCTTGCCTCTAGTGTGCAGGAGTCTTGCCTGTGCCTGGTTGGGTGTCAGTTCCCTAACACCAGCAACCTCTCAAGCACTCTTCTCTGGTCTATGCCAGCCTTGTCTTTGCCTTGCAGGTTAACAATAGGGACATCACAGTCCCCAAGTCCCTTCAAATCGTTCCTCTGTGATATCCAGCCCCTGACACTGACTACTCACAGAAATCTCAGATCCTCTGTCCCAAAGGAGCAGTGTGCCCAAGTTTACTAGTTTTACCTTAAACCACTGCTCTTGTATATCACACATCACTTGTGAGCACTTATAATTAAACAAAGTAGATTTATTTAAGAAAGATTGGAGAGTTAACTAGAAACAAGAGGTAGTGACAGAAACAAATGGTTACTATACAAAATAAATAACAAAATGCAAACTTATGTCTACAGTTATTGATGGTTACCTTTTCTATCTAAAGTGCAGTCTATTGCTGAGCTGGCTGGCTTCACAGGAACAAGGATCCAGTTTTTCATGAGAATGTCTCTACTTCCTAAGATGTCTCTTCAGTCAAAGAATCTAAAGAATCTGTTATACTGAAACCATGTTTTGTCTTTATTCACAGACAGGGCAAACCTCTGTCTGTTGTAGTGTTTCTTTGTTTACCTCCAAGTGGTTTTGATTGTTTATAGTTGTCTATGGTGGTTTTCTGTTGATAGTCTTGGGAAGCAGCAAGGCTAGACAATTGAGCCTTGCATTACATCACTTGCTAAACAGATAGGGGTTACAATTCCCTCCTCTGTGAATGGTCCATCACCAAGACATATTGTCCACTGGTGACTAACTTTTAGTCCAAGACTCTAAAGCATACTTTCAATATAGTTACATTATTCCTTAAATATTACCTGTACATACATCTCACCATGATTATGAACCTTGATAAGTTACAAACTTTTTGTGGATACCTCACATGCTACTCTTTATAAATCTCCTGCAAGGCTTGTGTTTGGTGTAGTGAGTTTGTCAGGTCTGAGGTGAGAGTTGTTTGCAAAGAACGGGAGATCCTTTGACAGGAAACCTCAGTGTCATTCCCCACAGCCCCCCAGCCTAAAAATATTCTGGTTTGGTACAATTCTTGGGATTTTGTATATTTTTATTAGCAATAGTAATATATGTTATTTATTATGGGAGGGGCTGGCAGCACCAACATTTAATTGTTTG